GGGTATTTTCGTAAAGAATACAACAAAATGAAAGAAAGAATGTTTGTTGTGCAGTTGGAAGTCATATTGCAAATCTAAATGAGCCGTACAAATTAATGCACGAGCATATTGTTAAGCTTCGTTGACTTCGTTGTCTTTTCAAAGGTATGTACCAAGTAAGAAAAACGGCACAGTCTACACAAATAATTGGCGAATGTTTCGTGATACTGCAACAACAACATCAATAACAACAACGTGATATTCATGAACTTATTGACGCCTGGGAAATTGCTAAATAGTCATATTATACAGTAAATAGGAACACAATAAGCAATAACAAGGAAGCTTTAAAAGACGAAACCATTCATGGATGTCGTCAAGATTGCTTCCTCTCAGTTTTTTCTCTGAAAGCTTTTTAGATCATGGAAAGTGCATATTGATCTAAAATTTGGATAATCTCCGTAGGCTGGTTTACATTGGTTTTTCCTACTGGGCATTCACTTAGGTGCCCAGCGACACACCATAAACTCATTTATTGACAAGAGGCATTCATAATAACCATTACACGGCAAGTGGCACTCGCTCTTCAGGTAGCACCGACGCGTCTCAAATCCAGACAGACGTCGTCTACTGTTTCACCTGAACAACAATAATAACAACTTAATAGTAGTTCTTTGCAACAATGTATGTTGCAATCCGATGCTACAAATGTGAACTCGCTGTAGCAGTTGTTGTTGGCGCACAACACAAATAACATACGACATCAAAACAATGCAAACGAAGGTGTTGACAACCTCGGTCCGGTTTTATGTTTTCTTCGATGTCCCCTCGATGCTCGTGCAATTCCAGCTCAGCTTTTTTTCGCCTGTTCATTTACGCTGCTTCAGTTTTGATTCAAAATTGTAATCAGTCACGTACGATTCTATACCGTTAGGCCTTAAGTAGTGAGGTATGTACATTCGCTACGACAACTGAAATCGTGTGTATTTGTGGGATGTATAAACTTTCGCACACGCCTATAAAGTGGAAGGAAATATTTGACGAAATTTCCATACTTTTTGCTCAATTAAGCACCGCAACCTTTATCGTATTAATTAGTGCGACGCTCGCAATTCACCTTATTTCGAAGAAAATTTGTTTTGCACGATTGCATTTCGCCGCCGTCACTTTTCGCCGACTTTATTTTCTTTCAACACAATACTGTTATATCTGAGTTCCTAACATTGGGTGTTGTCACCGTTTTCAAGAAAGTCTTGCACTATGAAAATTGTGAAAATATATGAACACATGTTTGTATGTAGTTTGTTAAGGCTCTACCATACCAAAATATACTAAAGAAATTATTGAATTAAGATTTGAATACATACCGAATTGAAAAACACAAAAAAGTAAATCCCAAGTATACAATTAAAAATTTTAAAAATTTACAGTGACATCTTTCCGCGTTTGCGTACTTCGTGTTCCAAAGTTAGAATCAAAAACTGATTTCTTATTTTTAAAAATCTCAGCGAATGATAATAATTCATTCGATTAAATTGCGTGTTTTACAGAGACCCTAAAAATGCACTCATAGGTGGCAATTATCAGAAAAATTATAAAATTAACAAGTAAGGATGGGCTAAGTTCGGATGTAACCGAGCATTTTATACTCTCGCAAAGTCAAATAGTATACTCGTTTGAGATTTCTTTGTGGATTGGCTGATATTTTTGGTAGAAGGTCAACTATAGGCACTGGGGTTCACATATTTCGTACTTAGGGGCTTAAACAGTTTTGGTTCGATTTAGACAATTTTTGGCCACAAGGTGGCATACTTTAATCGCATTATTCACGCAAAGTTTTATCCCGATACGTCATTGTTGCCTGATTTGCATAGTGGAAAGTGAAGGAATCAGATGGAATTTAAAATGGTGTTATATGGGAAGTAGGCGTGGTTGTAGTCCGATTTCGCCCATCTGAAATACCAACCGTCTCACGGTACTAAGAAACATGTCTACCAAGTTTCATAAAGATATCTCAATTTTTACTCAAGTTAGAGCTTGCACGGACGGACGGACGGACGGACAGACGGACAGACAGTCACCCGGATTTCAACTCGTCTCTTCATCCTGATCATTTATATATATATATAACCCTATATCTAACTCGATTAGTTTTAGGTGATACAAACAACCGTTAGGTGAACAAAACTATTATACTCTGTAGCAACAGGTTGCGAGAGTATAAAAATAGTTTCAAAACATGTTATAAGTACTTCTTAATTGAGTCATTCGGGCCGGGGTCTGAGGTAGCCCCTTCCAACTATATACGTTCCAAAATATATATATATATATACATATTGACTCCGCATTCAATAAATATGCACGAACAACAACAACAACCCCCAACAAATGCCTGCAAAATAGAACTGCCCGAAAAGTAAATGCTTTTGACGTATGACTGATATACATATCTATATCAATAAAAAATTGCATACCAATACAGACAATACTGCTGCAAGTCGCGTCCATTGTTGTTGGAGCAACTTATCGGCCACACAAGCGAAGTGGGTCAGATGAAGAGTGCACGGCCTCGACTGGTATTTGCAATTGTTATTGTTACTATTTTATGCATTTCGATGATCTCTGTGTATGTGTCTATCAATTATGCAGGTGCGATTGTGTGGATGTATGTACGTATGTAAGTAGTAAGTTTTGAGCAAGCGAATTAGCTTGCAACATTTATCAGCGAAACGCCAATAATAACCGAAAGCACAATAACAGTAAGCGCTTTTATTGCTTTATTATCTTCAAAATTACTAGATACCCTGCAAAAAATGCGACAAGTCTCGGATGAGTGCGCGATTAGTCGCAAAGTAGCTTGTGACTAATTACATTTTTGATATTTGTGGTATTCTGGCACTAATTGTACCCTTTTTTTACCCGAAAGCCTACAAAGAGAGTCTAATCGTACAAAAGGGTAGTTTCTTGTATATGGTAGCATTGAAGAGAAATGTAAACAAAGATTCAACTAATCTATCTCCAACTATATCCGAAAGATATGGCTTGGAATTACAAAAGTTCATTCAAATTTCTACAAGTCGCACAATTTTTGCAGGGTACATGCTTACATATAGTATAAATATAGACATATTACTGTATACGTACATGTGTACCTACGTTTGCTTGAGTGCTTCAGTTGCAATGTTGGTTGGCATCTGATTTTTATTGGCAATGACAACCATTATTACGACCCTGACAATCGAACGCTACATAGACGCATACACGCATATCCATATATTCGTAGGTGCAGTTTTATTCGCCTACCCAGTAAGGAACTTATCGCTGGACTGAACATTTGGACTTATACCGTTATTCATTAACCATGTGTCATGTAGTATATGCGCAAGTAGATTATCTCCTTCTGCATGCAATCAATTCGCTATCAATTCAGAACAATCAGAAGAGTTCTAAACCAAAATTAGCTATACCAAGTTTCAGAAATTGCAGTGTTTTACTGGCTTCAAAACTTATGACATTTTTTTTTATTCCGGCTCCTACATCAGTTTTCCAATAAAGAACAATTAAAGTATCTTTATCGAATTTAAAAATATTTTCTTGCAGGGTGCCACACATGTGTATGTATGTGCTAAAGCTCATATGTTTATGTATTGTACGTGTTGAGATACGCGTAAGTGTGTGGAATTTTTCAAATGCAACGGTTGTTAGTCTGAGTCCTTGCATGCAAGGCAAACCAATCGCTCAGCTGCGCAAGCTGCACACATACATATATGTATATATGTATCTGAACAGTTGTTCTCATATGTATGTTTGTATGTATACAAATGAAGCAGGGGTCTAGTAAAGACAAAGTTGGCAAACATTTTGATTTACTTGGACAGACAGTTAGTTGGCCAACAAGTCAACTCAGAGACAGTAAGTGGGAAGCGCACTGCGTCACACTTGTGTTCATATGTGTGTATATATACATATGTGTGCACAAAAACTGCAATAATATGTGTGATGAACACAGCCAAAGTACACCATCCAAAGGCAAATGCGGGCGGAAATAAACAAACAGCTATTGAGCGGTTTCAGTCTGTAGTATCTTTGTGACATTTATTGGGCGCAGAGGACAACCGGTTGGAGTACTGGTAACTTCGCCTCATAACTGTTAGCGTCTGCCCTTAGATTCTCTTTAAGTATCTGCAACCGTTTTTCTACGATGCTTGTCCAGATTATTATTTAGGCCTACAACAGAAACAGAATCAAATTAGTTTCCTCTCGTTTTTTCGCACTCCAACTCAAGCTAAAGTTCCGCCAGCAAAAGCACGCAAGAGCAGATTCTTATTAAGCACGTTCCGCCGCATTGAAGCTCAGTTCTCTTCCCAGCCGTACCCACTATATGCACTTCATGTGTACATATGTATATGAATGTAAATATTTAGGTACTTGTTATTGCTTTGTAGTGATGTGCATTAGTGTGCATGGGAGTCGATTGCGGGAGGCGCTTCCGCTGGCGGACGCACAAGTGCGTTGATTGAGGAATAACAAAGCGGTCTTATGGTCATTGGTTGATGGCGGCAGTAGGCACTTGTCCATGCTCGATAGCTAGACGTTCACACACAAACACACCTGGGTAAATATGTAGAATTGTTTACTTGGACAGACAATAGCGCGGCACAAATGGAAGCGTGTCTAAATGCACACCGCGCCATTTATAAGTAATGGTCAACAGCATCTGGAGCTAAGTAGCGGACGAACGCCGACTACTTAAGTGACGTTCTTATTGTGCGCACGCATACTCTCCAATAGACATATACACACAAAGACAAAAGCATACTTGTACATATGAGAAGTGCGTGCTCGTGAATTATTAATTAAAATGATGTAACTGTGTAGGTGGGTACTTGTTCGCGCACCTACACGTCGGATTTACACCGAAAGATTCAATTCTGCGAAGTGTCTTTAACATACTTTGTCACAGCTCTCACTTCTGCAAACTAAAGAGACGTTTACTATATTTTGAATTTTTTTTCTTTCAGAGCGGCAAACATGTCAACCGATTCTAAGCAGCGAATTCAGGTGCCCGAGGCGTTGAGAGAGGTGCTCTTGGAGTTTTCAATAGCGTATTTGTTGGAACAGCCCGGAGATGTGGTCGATTATGCAGTACAGTATTTCAATAAATTGCAGTCGAATCGCCAGGCAGCTGCAAATTTCTATCGTCCAGATTCCCCAGAGAGCAGCATCATATCACAGGAAGAAGGTAAGCCGCATATAGCCGTTTACAAGATCTAAGAAGAAACAAGTAAGGAAGTTCTAAGCTCGGATGTAACCGAACATTTTATACTCTCGCAACTTGCAAGGATCAAAGCCCGGGAAATTACTTCAGGTGTTGGCAAATCCGATTCAACCCATTTTTGACACAAAAACATACTATTATCAATATCATTTATTTATTTTATTATATGATTAAACAATTAAATATCTTACACATTGCTGATATTTTCGGTAAAAAGTCAACTATAGGCACTTGGGTCCACATATTTAGTACCCAGGGGTTTAAACAGTTTTTTTTTTCGATTTAGACAATTTTTGGTCACAAGATGGCATACTTTAAACGCATTATTCTCGCAAAGTTTTACCCCGATACAATAATTTTTGCTTGATTTGCATATTGGAAAGTGAAAGAATCAGTTGGAACTTAAAATGATATGAGAAGAATTTTATGTACCGAATTTAGTTGAAATCGGTTAAGCAGATCTCAAGATATGGGTTTTCACCTAAAAGTGGGCGGTGCCACGCCCAAGTCATTTCATATCATCCCAGAGATAAAGTTTAATGTCTCTGGCGTGTTTAGTTCTTGATTTATCGCGCTTTTAGTAGTTTTACCAGTACCGTTATATGGGGAGTGGGCGGGGTTGTCACCCGATTTCACCCATTTTCACACAGTCGATAGAGATGCTAAAAACATTTGTTCCCAACGTCCGGTTCGGTTTCAAAACGTCTGATTGCGTCTGCAGTTAATCAGAATATAACCGACGAATTGCTATAGAATTTCAAAATGTCAAGCGGTATTTTGTGTTTTCATTCACAGTGGTTCCTCCAGCTATCTGCTGGAGCTCTGTTGGCACCTAGGGAACACACGTTCGTTCTAGTTCAATGGTCCCCTCGTTCAAAGAGAAAACAAAATCTAGCAGTCTCTTCTTGTTGTTCTACAGAACCGCAACAACCACTTGAACTTTCAGTCTCTTAATTTCGATAATACGTGCATATTTTCATGAACTAAAGATCAACTAGACCTGCTAGTTTCGCGCTGGTGACAATACCCACTCACTTTATTACTTGCAACTATCCACATATGTATAAATATGTATGTATATATCTATCTACTTACCTTTGGTTGTGGCATAATTTACATACGTGAACAAAATTTCTAACAGTCCTTGTGCCTCTCGGCTTTTGAATATCGTGAATGTCATGGCCTTCGCACGAATATTGTGGCATTTCATTATGCTTCTATTAGCTTGGCTTTTTGGCATTTTTGGTAACCGGTGTTTTGTATGTTGTGTGTTATTATAGGTGTGGTTTCGAGGAATATATTCACTTTGACACATGACATCGGTGATAATGCTTGCATGCAAATGCTTTGGATTTTTTCTCCTGACATTCGACTCAATGTTAAAATTAAATTAAAATGCATAACGGCTTTTTCGACAAAAACTTTTCATACAAATTTAGTTGTACCATTATATATGTATGTATGTAGTCTTGACTCTTTTTCTACAATGGCCAATTAAATTAGCAAAATGACTATGCCCATATTCAAACTTATCAATTTCTTGTACCTTCTCACCACTCTGCATGCTTTATTACCCACATGAACGCACTTCCACTTCGATTTCCCCACATGCCATATCTTGCAACGACGGGTCAAGTGGCATTTATTAGGTTAGTTTGTTCAGATTATGGACGCTTCTCATTATGTGTCAGCAACTTTGTATACGCTCACAATATTATTATTATCATTGTTGTTGTTGTTTTAGTATCCTTCGTGCAGTCTTTGTTCCCAACATTCTAAATGTGTGCTTGTTTTGTTGTCTTTACGCTCGATCGAACTTGGTCAAAAGCGCTTCACCCAAGCATTTGACCCGCTTTGCTCCGACTTTGCCCACTTCACTTTGCCTGCCACAATTTGCGCAGAGATTAATCAGCTTCGTCCCCTGTTTCCGCTGTCGCGCCGTTAGTTTATTTTAGCGACAGCAGCTGTCAGCATTGTGGCCAACATCGCTTCACTAACAGTTCGGTTCTGGATTGTGCGAACAACTTACCTCATTAAAAAACTATTAATTATTTGATCATTCGCTCTAGCGGTAGGTGAGCCAGGTGGTGCTGCTGTCGAAACATAAGCCATGCCAATCATCTCAAATATCTTGTGAGCGTTTGCATAAATGTCTGCTTATCGGTTGCTATTATTATATTTTTGTTATTGCTTATTGAAATGTGAAAAGGTAAATGATGTTCAGATTCTGCCTAACACATTTGGTGGGTCTTCAAATTCAAATGTGATTTCTCGGCAACTTGATAGGCTCACATCTAAGAAATCAGAGCCGCCAAACAATTCATATGAGTTGAAGTCAATTTTGCATGTCAGAAATGCTGCTCACATCAGATTGTGACTAGAGATGAAAAATTTATCCATTGCGACCGTTCTAAACGATCAAATGTGAAAACCGACTTACCAGATAAAACGGGTGTAATCATTAATGATGAACAATATCGACAATAACTCATCAAATTGAAGCGAGTGATTGCTGAAGGTCCGGAAGTAGCGACACGAAGAAATAATTTACATCATGACAACGCTCGGCCTCATGTTGCAAGACCGCTTGAAAATAATTTCCCTGACCCGTCTTATGGCCCAGACCTTGCCCCTTCTGACCACTCTTTGTTCCGGACCATGCAGCACTCGCTCACTGAAATACGGTTCACATCAAAACAGAGTATCAAAAAATTAATTGATTCATTCTTGGTCGCCAAGCCGGCGCAGTTCTTCTGGGCTGGAATCCACAAACTGCCAGAAAGATGGGAAAAGGTTACGATTTGCTTTTGCTTTGTTTCCCCAGTTAAAATCATTAAAAATACTCCAGTAAATAGAAGCAAGTTTGTGGACCCAAACTAGAGGTGTGGTAAGAGTGTACAATACATGGTTATAATATAAATTCGAATTATGTTACAATTTATGTATAAACCCAAAGTTCTTGCTGACGATGCTACCCGAAGCTTTCACTGCTCGAAGCGAATCATCGATATGCGCTGGCATAAACGGTCATACGGCTCTGGGTATGTGTAAGCAGTGGCTTACAACCTTCAATGTCCTCTGAACGCATTTAAACGTACACTCATAGGAATTATTATTCATTGTAAATAGTTAAGTTTATTTTGCTTGATGGCTCGTGTGTAGCGCCATTAGAAGAATGTATAAATATACATAGTACACACTTTCTTAACCACACGCATACATAGGCATTGTGCTCAGTGCTGAGTGCTGGGCCACCTACTAGTATTGATTGCCGCCAGTCAATCATGCGACATCAAAGCTTCTGCACACTGACAATGCCGCTTTCATTCGAGAGCAGGAGCAGCATCTACCTGTGTTCTCTATTCCATGGGCTCCTAATTGTACAATAACTGCTTCAGCCTCCTCCATTTCTGGGAGATTGCTAAGCTGCTCTGTGGAGGCATCTCATCCATTTTGTATCGCATGACTTCTTCTTATGTTCTAACTCATCCTTCGAATTATTTTCCGTTTATAAGGAATAGCTTTGCATTTTAATAGCGACGCTACAAGCCACTGCTTCACATGTTTGGCTGTGTATGTGTGTGTGAGGGATGAGCTCTTGTCAGCCATTAACAACGTTTTAATACAGTTTATTCGAGTGCGCCGTCGCTTTCCCTCACAAATCCTACCTTCGTTAAATAGCTAACTGTTCTAACGAGGCAATGAGTGAAAGTAGTCAACAATAATTTTGTTGTATTGGTTTGATGGTTTTGTACATCCGCTTTGCCACTAGAACAATATTTTTTTCCTCGGCTTGTTCCTTCTTACTGACCAGAGTGTGAGTGCTACCTTAATATAAAGGGTGCTTCGTTAAGTAGGTACGGCTATTATTATACAATATTACTAAAAGCTGGTATATGGAAACTTTTAAGAACATGGAGTTATTGATCGTATTTTAAGAAAGTTTCGCAAAAACGGTAATATTTAAAAAACGAATTAGTTATCGATTCCTTTTTGAGTTTAATCGTCCGTTAATAAAGAAAATCATAACATTTTTAATTCTTATAATAACAAAACCAATCACCCGTTATTATATCCGCTAATTTCTTGTGTTTGGGTGTTTATAAGAGCTTTATGCTTCTGGTTAAGTTGACACGTACAGCTCTTAAACTTGTTGGATTCTGTGGTTTCAGTCCAAAACAACTTATGTGAAGACACCCCTCAGTTTATTCCGGGGCCTATCGTTGTGTATTTCAAGTCGCTTCATTGACTTCCTCTCTTTTTTCCACTCCAGTGGGTCCATACACATATACGTACAAGCATCCTACCATACATACATATATACATAAGTAAGCTCGCTTAGATGGCGGCAAGGTCCAACCGTAGCTGCAGTCGTTCGACGTCCAGTGTAGCTGTCGGTTCGGCTTTGGAGACACTTATGAAAATTTAACTCGCTGTCTTGTGCTTGTAGAGTTTCAAGCGTTGCGCTGTCGTTCTGTTCATGACGGTATTTGTGAAGGACGTGCTGCTAATTAATTGCGCTCCCCATTGGTACTCGCGCGCGGCTTTGTCGCTTAATTATCGAAACTTTGCAAAGCTCGACGCATCACTTTGGATTATTCTGTCGCAACCACACCATAAGCGTTATTTGCATAAAACGTCAGCCAAAGTGGCGAGCTTGTTAGTGACAGCACTTTGCCTATAATAAGCAAAGGTGATTTGCCAGTTCGAATTTCTCGAAAAGCAGCAAAAACAACAAAATTATAAAAAAAAATTTGCATATCTGAAGGCGCGTAAGCGGACGCCCGCGAAAAGTGTTGGCAAAATTTATCGCCGCTTATTGCGACCCCGTTGACGCGTTTGTACATCGCAAGTAGACAAAAGTGCGCACCTGTTACGCATCAAGTGCAAATTATCGCAGTGTCCGTTTTAGTGAAATTCCCCGAGGCGTTGGGGCAAATTTACAGTGTTTTGCGAATTTCGCG